TCAGCCTGGAGGAGAGAAGGCTCTGGGGAGACCTTATCACAGCCTGTCAGTACCTGAAGGGGCCTACAAGAAAGCTGGAGAAGGACTTTTTACAGGGGCACATAGTGACAGGACAAGGGGTAATGGCTTTAGACTGAAAGAGGGCAGATTTAGATTAGGTGTAAGAAAGAAATTCTTTACTATGAGAGTGGTGAGGCACTGCAACAGGTTGCCCAGAGAAGTTGTGGGTGCCCCCCCCCAGCAGTGTTCAAGGCCAGGCTAGACAGGGCTTTGAGCAACCTGGTCTGGTGGAAGGTGTCCCTGTCCACGGCAGGGGAGTTGGAATTAGATGATCTTTAAGGTCCCTTCCAACCCAAACCATTCTATGAGTCTATGATCTCATTAATTAGAAGCAAACTCCTGTAGTATCAAGAAAGGTATAAAACATCAAAAGAAGATTAAAAAAATTTACAATATGTTTTGAAAGAACACATAAGCAAACTAAAAGTACCCGGTTTTCTCCAAGGAAAAAAAAAAGGATCAAACTCACCATTCATTTCCAACAACAACGTATAACAATATCATGAATGAAAACAAGCCACTGTTCATTGCATGCACTGTTCAATGACACTTATAAGTAGGGAAAAAGGACATTGTTTTGTGCAAGTCAGTTTACAGTTTATTTTTAAAGTGTCACAGTAAATCTAATTCAGTTATTGCAATATCATAAAAGCAGCATGTCAACTGATAAACATTAATATGCTGTCTTAGGACCAGCTAATCTAAATGGATAAGCTAGTTCTCCCTCTTTTTTTGACAGGCAGGCAATAATCATAGAAATGAATACTGCTGAATAATTTCTTGTGTCTTCCCAGTTCTTTCCACCTCATAGCCATTTGCTCTCCACTGAAACCTTCTACGTTAACTCTTCTACATAATACATTCAAGCAAGATTAGCAAGAATAACTATCTACCTGGAAAAAAAAAAATGCAAAATCTCTTATTGAGAAATTGCAAATGGATGATTCCAAGATGAACAACCATTTAACTTTAAATAGTTAAAAAGATTTAGAGTATTTCCTGCCCCTACGTATATAATCAATCTATATATAGAATAATACTAATTGTGCTGTGAGAAAATACGTCACAAAGAATAAGAAAAAAGACTAAAAGGACAAGACTTATTGGGTTGTAACATCAAGGAACAGGTGCTCAAAGCATACATTTTCAAAAGTAAAATAATCTTCAAAAGAAACTCTGGAATGTCCAAGGTATGATCCAAAAGGTTTATTTTTTATCAATTTTCTCTTGAAACACATAATCCTCTCTTCCAGCATGCTTTCAACACTTCCCAGTTTTACATTATCGGGGTGCATAACACATATCCATCATTCAGAACACGGATGATAGCCTCAAACACAATGGATCCCTACCAGATCCTACTAGAAATCTTTCCAGTCTCACCATGAATCATTGATAATTACTTTGATGTAGTCTTCCAATCAGATGGGCATCTATCTAACAGCAATTTCACCTCATACACTTCCCACCAGCTTGCTAATGAAAAGTCTTCTGGAGACAACACAAAAACTTTTCCTAATGTCAGTATGTTACTACTGGTTTTCCATTATGCATAAAGCCTGTTTTCCTGTCATCCATGAAAATCAGACTTGTGACATTATTTTTGACAAATCCGTATTGAGCGTTTCTCTTTTTTTATATTTTTCCCCTATATGACTTCTATTTCAGAAATGGTTAATTATTTTTTTAAAATACAAATTAATACAGCTTACAAATAATTTTTTCTTTGATTGTTCTTACAACACTTCTCCATAAACGTCATTAAAAATATCAAACTTCTAATGCACCCTTTTCTCTCTCTTCCTCCCAGCCCCTTCTCTTTTTTGGCAAGCAGCTAGATTTGCCCTTCTCCAGTCTCCTGGGAGTTCCCAATGTTGACTGTGAGCCTAAGGGCCCCATTCAGGGTGAACTTCATCATGCACAACCAATCTGAAAACAGTTTTCGTGTTTCTGTAAGAAACACCTCAGTTTTCAAGAAAGGAAGTTTCATAAGCCAGTAACCTTCAGACACACTAGCATAGATCTATCACTTAAGTATCAATGTGATAGATCACATTTTTTAGACATGTCAAAAACAGTCTTTAAAATTACAGCTTTTTGATATTTTTGATAGAAATTAGTTTTTTGAAAAGATCAATAACCATGTGGATAAGACTGACAAACTAGCTGGCACAGCCAGCTTGGGACTTCCAAAGCCATTCCTTCAGAAAGACTCCTCTGCAAATGCTTACAAGAAAACTAAGCAGCAATTAGGTAAGTGGGATGGTCCTTTCACACAAAAATATTTGATTACAAGAGAGGAAATAGCAGAAACACATGGTCAAGTCATAAAATCAGCAGAAAGCCCCTGTCGAGTTTTGCTGGAACCTGTGGCTGTGATTTGTGCTGTCTGACATATCCTAATCAACACAGAGAACAGTAAGATGACCAATTTTCCTCATGATATTAGGTTATTCAGGGCAGTAAAGACAAAAGCCAAATGCAAAGAATAATTTTATTGAACTAAGCAACTAGGCAAGGGCTGGCAGATGAAATTCAGGGAGATAAATGTGAAGTTATACACAAGTGAAAATAATACTATCTTCATACATAACAAGCTGGGATCTAAACTGATCATAACCACTGGTGAGATTCTTCAGCTACGATAAATACTTCCATTAAAATATTACGTCAGTACTCAGTAGCAGTAAGAAAAAAAAGTGTTGGGAATTGTTGGGGGAGACGTAAAGATTAAAAAAGCAAACGCTATAACATCAATACACAACTCATTTTACACCTGTATTATGAAAAACATGATCCCTTTTGGTCTCCTCACCTCAAAAAAAAAGTAACAGGTCTGAAAAAGATCCAGAGAAGAATCAAAGAAATGTCACAGATTCATGAAAGGAACTATCACACTTGCCAAGATTCTCCTGTCTGGAAGAGCGCTGCGGGAGGGATGTGATGACCATGTGCTATAAAATCATAGGTGGCACTGAGACTGGTACCAGACATCAGCTATCTTAATGTTTTCCTTCCAGCACAAGCAACAGGAAATCCTAGCAAAAGCAGCCAAAGTCTAGCGCAAAAACAAATAAAAAGCAGTCATTCTTCACAAGACATGTTAAGCTATGGGATTCGCTGTCATAAGAGGTTGTGGACAGTAGAATTTTACATAGGTCCAAAAGCAACTGGCTTAATTCAAAGAAAAGTCCACTGAGAGTTATTATGCACACAGAAGCTGTAGCTGGATCATAAAGAGTACTCAGTGGAGATATTACTGTATACTAGGTCTATTCTATGAACTCTTGGACATTGTTACCAATGGAATACTGGGCTATCCAGTCTTTATTTTATTATAGATTAAGGACTAATATTAAATATATAGATAGGGTAAAATACATTCTTTTTGTCTTTTGTTAGGTTCATCCTTACAAGAAAATAAGAGCACTGGTTAAAAATGAAAACATATAATCTTCTCTTATGAGGAAAAGCAGAGGGAGCTGGGTTTGTTTAGCCTGAGGAAGAGATGACAGAGTGAATCTTATAAATGCTTATGAATACATAAAGGTGATAAAGTCTCTAAATACCAGATTCAGATTCCAAATGTCAATAAAAGATATTCATGTGACATTTCTGTAAGAAAGGTTACTGAAACAGAGTGTATTAGAATATTCCTGCTACTGCTAAGGTGACACCAGCTGTCCAGTTGGGTCACCAATTATAGGTGACACCAGCTAACCAGTATCACTAACTACAGGTGATACTAACCAATCTTCTGATCCGAAAAAATAAGGGGTTTGAATAGCAGAACCTCCACCAAACATGTTTTTGTTAATATTGGTTCTAGCAGTATCCTAGTGCAACTACTACAGAAAAATACTCCATAGCTACCACTGCCAGTCTGGATACACAGGTTACACAAGAAAATAACAAATTAATTCAGTGTACTGAATTCCTGATCCAGACCCACACAGCTTCTCACTGAAGTAACTGTTAGCAGGCTTATTAGTTCTACAGAAATTTAGGTTCATTATATGCCTAAGAGGTGGAAAGTTTGGTGAGAAGCACTGATGATCACAAACCTAGAAGTAAAATAAAAATTTCAGTTGTTGCTGCCTGCCAGTAAAGAAGTTTAGATTGGGATTCTGGAAGTGAGAGAAACACAGGATTGTGTTTTTGTCTGGGAAAAGTTAACAGATGGTCTAAAAAGGAGCAGTTTTAAAATAAGACCAGCAGCCAAAAAGTGTGTGGAGACAGCAATGTGAGAATTTTTTTATCTATTCTGTGCCACTGTTTTATATAGCTTTGTGAAATAGCAGAGAGTCTCAAAGCTTGACTTTATAACTTTATTCATCCAGATTAAAATACTTCAATATTTTTATAACTTTGGGAAAATAATGCTTTGTTGCAAAAGGAAGTATTTGAAATACATATTTACAAGATGCTCTTTTTCTAGGACACAGGTCTAAAACGTAACTTCATTCTGTAACATAGAATTACAGAAGGTTGCATATGGGGATTCAATATCATATCTTCTTTTACCTTTAAAAAAATGGGCAGCTACATCCCTATACAGCTCAAAAAATGAGCCTCTGGATGTTTATTTATACTTTTACAGAAGTAGCTCATTTACTTCTTCAGAAAAGGTTGCTGAGTATATTTAGACTGTTGCATAAAAAAAAGCACTAGAGAAAGACTCAAAAATAAAACCGATAGTGACAATCAATCATTCTCTTCAGCTATAATATGAAAGAATGCTGCATGAAGGAAATCATAAGCTGCATTCAGATTCTTATTAATGAGCTTTCCTACTGTTTAGCAGCCAGAGGCAAATAGATCAAGACATATAATTCTTGCTGTAAATTTCAGTCTTGTTCCAACATAGGATACAGTACCAGAAGCAAAGCGTCAAATACTTAGCTGTAAATCAACAGAAAGAAACTTTCAGAATTACTTACCTGATTTTCTTCATGGGAAACTCTCATCTGTTCTTTAAGAACTGACATTCTGGCTGCTTCTTCTTTCCTCAATACTCTTTCTTTCTTTAGCTCAGGACTCCAAAAAGTTTTGATGCTATTCATGGAGGATCCCAGTTTGCTGTCCTTAATGTCAAGTTCTTTTCTGAGAAGATCATTCTCCCTCTGCAGTTCTTTAAGCTGAGACTGCAGGTCTAACATGGTACTATCTCTAACCTGTCTCAGCATAGAAGGAACCTGATGGTGGTGATGGTGTGAAGATGTGGTCAGACCTCCATGCTGATCAGTATAAGAAAGGACGTCGGTATGTGAAAGTCCAGCTGAAGCAATATTAGGACTGCTCCCCATAGCTGTGACTCGACCACCATACACAGCTCGATTCGTAGCCCTTCCAAGAGTCATTGTGCCCTTTGGGAAAGTAGTAGAAGCTACACCTTCATGGTCACTCAGATACATTGGTCCAGATGTTGCATAGGCTGCGTTAAGGGACTGGATGTTCTCCATTGATAATGTCTTCCCTGTCCCTCCTCCTCCTCCACTATTTGTTCGCCTATGGCCCAGGCGAGGAGATCTTGGCAAACGGGGAGACCTGGAGGGACTTCCTTCTAAGTTGCTGATTGTTCTTGCACTTCCGTACATTTTTCTTTCACTTCGAGGTACTATTTAGTAAGAAATTAGTAACACTAAATTTAAATATTAAATTTGTAATTCCAGTTAGAAATATTGGCAGTTTCAGTGCATTCTTCCAGCAGGCAAAACACTACTCTTTCTCCAAAGTCAGAGACCTGAAAAAAGATATTATAAAATTAAGTAAATTTTCATCTAGAAAAATAAGTTTACAAGTAATCAGCATATATCAGAAAATAAAGTAACCCACTTCCTAGAGTAATTACTGCAAAAATAAAAATTACTATGCATTTTGCATTTAGGATTACAAGTTAAAAAACGCGTTTTCAAACTAATTTAATTCAGAAGAAAACACTGCTCATTTCCTTCTTGCTAGAAAACATCTTGACATTCTGACTTACTTTAACAAGCTTTACGTTGCGATAAACATCATAGACCCAGAAACATCTTAGCTGATACTTTAATGAACTCACATGACTGACCATGTGGAATTATATAAAGGAAAAAAAATAGCTGTTGTTGACATTAAGAGCTACCCAGACTAAGATATTAAATTTTCAAAACGCAGTGTAAAAGTAGCAGTTCAGCAGTTCTGTATATTCTCTAGTAATATTAGATTAATTAAGACTGAACAAAGAAATAGGCAGGAGTTTTAGTTTTTGTGTAACAAAGAGGTTTCGGGACAGGAAAAAGCATGAAGGAAACAGCGTTTCGAGTAGATTGGCTGTAGCCAGTAAAAACATATTTTAGTAAGAAAGATTAACAATAAAACTAAGCTAATTTGAGTGAATATTTCCTTCTAAACAATTATAACGTATTACAACACAGTATTATTTGTTCAATGAAGTACTAGCTTGCTAATACTTGTTAATAAACTTATCAGGAAAAAGTTGCATGACAATAATCTAGGTTTTCATTTTGAAAAGGAGCTCTTGTGAAATACAATTTTCTTCTTTTTTTTCCTATGGACATCATATTATTACTTTGACAGAATTATCCTTGTAATTTATTTAACCAAATAACAGATAGATGTGGACCAATGCTCTGTTTTCAAATTCTTCAATGCTATCACTACACATTTACCAAGTTTCAAGTAAGTTTATTAACTTTACATAGTATAAATATAAACGTACAATAGGTCTTTAGGATTAGGCAGGCCCAATGATTTTTTTTTTAAACAAATCTGACCATTTCAGTAAATTTGTGGTATTAATTAAATTGGTGGTCATTAACCAGATCTAGTATCATTTATTTCAAAGATAACTAGAGGAAGAACAAAAGCTGGATTCAGTCAAATATGGTAACCTTAAATCATACCCTCAAGGCATCCTCATTGTCTACAGACACATTCTTTTCCAGTGTTTTAAAACATCTGCTCTACATTTGTTGTGAAAAAAACACTAATGCAGGGGCAGGTAGAAGGATGATTTGATGTCATATTTATTAATAAGCTCTAATATATTAAATCCTCACCAACAATATCAGTATAAAACATTATGAATACTAGTAACGTCAGCAAACAAGAAGCATGCCTTGATAGGACAAGGGGTAATGGCTTTAAGCTGAAAGAGGACAGATTTAGACTAGAGATAAGGAAAAAATTTTTTACGATGATGGTGGTGAGACACTGGAACAGGTTGTCCAGAGAAGTTGCCAATGCCCTATCGTAGGAAGTGTTCAAAGCCAGGTTGGATGTGGCTCTGAACAGCCTGGTCTAGCTGCAGGTGTCTCTGCCCATGGCAGGGGGGTTGAACTACATGACCTTTAAAGGTCGCTTCCAACCCAAACCATCCTATGATTCTCCACTGACTACTCATTATCCCACACAAACATATACTACATGGCTTATGTGAATTCTAACAATTGCTTGGTATATGCTAAGTTTTCAAGTTTAAGAGCCAGCACAGTCTAAAGCATTTTTGTCTCACTTGAATTACCAGTATGCATCTGAATTAGCTGAGATGTTTCAACTTGTTCAACTTGTTTCAACTACGGTTATACTACGGTGGCCATTCTTGTGAATTTTCACCTTTCCCAAGAGGTCACAAGAGTCTTGTGGTAAGCATTACAAGATTCAGAAGTAGAAGGCATGGCACTACACTACACTGAAATACTGATGACAATGCCACTATGGGTGCTGAGCAAAAATATGAGTGTGGTATTTATTCAACATTGATAACTCGGAAACACTGAACTCTTCGTACTGCACTCAGGCTGCTCCATTAAAAGTAATTCACTTCAATGCAAACATTGCCCTCGGCAAAATGGATCACACAAGCTAACAGAACATTGTTCCATACAAACTAGATTAACAAGACCAGTAATTCTGTCATAAAACATTTCCACTTTTTGCCATGTACAAACAGCTCAGCTATACACATTGGCACTTATTGCCACATACAAACAGTTCAGCTATGCATAAAGCAAAGCAGGGCTACCTACTTCAATGAGAAAAATGTCGTTTTTAACTATTTAGGAAAACATAAATACAAAATTTCCTTCTAGCAACCCTTTTCTACTTTAGGATCACATAACTCGTAAATTAACATTAATATTTTTAATTATAGAGGCAAAAACCTGATCCAGCTTCTTGAGCCACGAAAACCTCTTTAAAATTTCCAGAATTCAGCCCCAAGGCACACAGATTTAAAGGAATCAGATCAAACTTGCTGATTAGCATTTTCAAATTTTGACATTTTATCACAGGTATCCAAATCTGCCCCCCTTTTCAGTTGTCATCCTGCATTCAAGAGATGACCCACAGCTTGTTCCACAAAAACACCTGGTCCGATTTTTCTGCCATCTCAGCTTCAATGCATTGATCAACAAAAACCATTTCTCATGGTCACTGGGGGCAATGCAATTGCCTATCCTAATTCTCAAGTGCCAGCCATCCTCTGGCCAAATAATACCACGTAATGAACTGTGAGAAATCCATCCTTGTATATTTCTAGTTTCCTGAAAAAGTTTTGTAGCTCCTTCAAAGAGTATCTCACCTGAGATCAGAGCTTAAGATCATTTTCCTTCCACTGGCTCATGGCAGATCCTGAACAATTTAAACTGGACACAATCAAATATTTTTAGAGACAGCAGACCTGATACATGTCCAGGTGGAGGAGGTTGGTGCAGATTTGTAGATTCGCAAAAATATAGGTATAGGATACCCTATCTCACCCCAATAGTGTTTTTCCTTTCTATTGCAACAGTCTGATAAATAACTAATTCTTCCTTCTCCCTTTGAGTCACTTAATATCCTACTTAGCCTTTTGTTTATGTCTCTGATATGTATTTTAGGTATTTGTTTTGCTTTTCAGAGTTTACTAGTTGTAGTCTGTCTTCTTTTCTCTACTCGTGTGAATTTCTGAGAAGTTCTCATCTCAAAGCAGAGAACACTTCTCTTGCTAGCACTCCAATTCTTACCATTGAGCCCTACTGAAAAAGGGAACCATCGTCCCTCAGGTACAGGGAGGCGAACTTCTTTCTGGACTTCTGTACTTCAATAATAATGTTCGCATACTTATTTAGCATTGTAACATTCATATGTCTGTGAAAATTCCAAAAGCAACAGGAAAAGAGAAATAAAACACCTTGGAAATAGGAAAGCATGTGAAAGTGTACTTTTTGGAAGCATATACATCTTAAGCATAAACACCTTGAGCCTTCCTTTATGGCTGTGAAAAATTCTCAGACACGGTAGAAGTCTTACACCACTGCTTCATGGAAGAGGTGAAAAAGGCACCTAGATCATTTTCTACCCTTTACTGCTTATACACAGAGCCTTCCTAGCTTCAGGAAGATTCACTTTGTGTCTCAACACATAAGGAATTCGAGGCATGAAGAGGCAGTATCAGCCTCGTGGCCTCCACAGTTGCCATACAGATCATCATCTACTGCCCTGAAGAGAAAGAGAGATCTCCCATCTTCTCACAGAACCTGCTGACACAGAGCTATTCTAGTTTAATTTCAGAGTAGGCAGGTGAGATATAGATGACTCTGTCTTGAAAACTGAATTGATTTTGCTATTTCAGTTTATGGGGCAGACAAAAATTATTAAAGCAATCATTTTTCACCCAAAATTCCAAGGATGGTTTTGCTGAACTAAAACATAATCCTTATGCACCATAATGCAAAGGGTGGAGAGAAAGATAAATAGAATCAAGTGGCAACATAAGAAACTCACATATCATGGAGAAGATGGGAGAGCTATATAGACAAGAACTGCATACCCACAACTAAAGGAGACCAACCCTCCCTCTTGAAAGGAGCCCAGAAGCTGTAGATGTTGCAGCAGCAAGCACAAAGGAGCTCCAGTACAAGATCATATCCCCCTAAAAACTTCTATGAAACAAAAATTCATTCATACTCATTCAGTTTGGTCTGCGACAGACTGCAGACGTACTGCATGCATCTTCCCATAAAAGGTTTCCAAAAACAGCTTAATAGTATTAGAAAAACTAGATGCTTTTTACTTGTCTCAATACTTTCTTTCTTTAAAAATACTTTTAATGTGCATAATGTATGCCTTAAAAACTAACCACTATAATTGTGGCTTTAATATTTTGCATTGCAAACAAAACTGTACAAAAGCGTTCAGAAAATTAAGCATGCATTCTCGTAGCAGGGGCGGACAGGACGCATCTCCCCAGCATGTTCTCATCAGCCTTGAAAATCCCAGCAAATAAGAAATAGTCTATCCCATGCTAAAATACTTCCTGATGGCTGTTCTAACTTAAGCCTAAGTTATTTTCCACATTTCTGCCTCTCCTTATCATTCGCACTCTGCAGAAAATAACATCATGGGTTCACATTATCCCTATCACTTAAGTCTCTGACACTGCATTTTATTTGCCTTGTAACTATCTATTTTTATAGAGGCTTAAAACGCAGGATTCTAATATGATGCTAATGGAAAGTCTGTCTCAGTTCAGTAACCAAATGCATTACTTCTACACTTTACATAATTACACAGTTTCCTTGAAATACTGTCTTCACAGAACCCCATAATTTCTGGTTTTCACTGGTTACACACTCTTACCACCACCCCCCCAGAAAAAACCCAACAACTAATTTTATTGCACTATTTAAACAAATCAGGGTCACCAAGTTCAAAGCAAGTAAGAATTTTCTGCATTGGGTCTATCAGTCCTTCCATAATAAT